TGTATAACATGTCTCTATAAATTACTAAAATGGAGTTGATTTGTCAAAAGCGTGGGAGTTTAAAAATTGTCAGTGCTCCATTGCTTTCTTACAATTTATAAAATTTTAGACTCGCCAGCTATTATGGGCTTTGGAAATATTCGAACATTCTCATCATCATGTTGAATATGTTAGCTAATTTGAAAAATGAAACATAAATGCCATTGTTGTAACTCTCATTTTGGTTTTGGTATTTTTTATTTTTTGTACTATGCAGTTTAGGATGGCCTTGAACTCACTATATTGCCTACGATAGCCTGAAGTTCCCAGAGATTCTCCTGCCTCAGTATCCTGAGTTTTGGAATGACAGGTGTACAATGCAACACAAAGGTATTTCTCCTTTCTTTGCCACCTGATACTACGTATTTTTTAAATCTCTGTGCCAGTACTCATATTCTAGATGAAATTCAAATTATCCCCAATGTAGTTCAGTCCAGAAAAGAGTTCTGTAAGGTGTTTTCTGGTCTTTTAAGCAAAACTAAGTACTCTCACACTGATATCTTTTTAAAATGGTGTAGACTGACATATCAAATGCATTATGAAAATATTTTTAAAATCTCTAGCTCATTTCCCAATTTTTTACTTGCTATTGTCATGGTGCTTCACATGTAATAGGTGCAAAATTGTTTCGTTGAGTGCCTGCATGATAGCATGTTATGGTGCTCCTGGCTCTACTGGTGTGATGAATCCATTAACTTGATAACTGTGTACTTGTTGCAGCCTAAGCTGGCAAAGAACCCCTACTTTAGAATAAGCATGTAATATTGTACATTACTCACATGTACATCAGGAATTGGTTTTGTCAGAAGTGAAATTCCTACGACAGCCAGTATGGATACAGTAAAGAGAATGATGGCAAAATACATATAGTGTACTCCACAGATAATCTTAGGACAGTTACTGGGAACCACACAACTTCCTGTTCCATAGGCAAATTCTGTAATCATCCGAACAAGGCCAACCACAAGCCCAAACAACAGACCCCAGAAAGCTCCCTGAAAAAGAAATAATAATAAAATAATTGTTTTAGAAAAACGAGACTAGTATTCAGATAAATCATAGTTACCATCCTGCCCAGTTTTTCAACTGAAGGGCCAATAGATATCTAACCATGAACACAAGCTTTTTAAAGCAAGGAAAATTGTGAATATATGTGTGTTCAAGTGAGCTGTTGCTCTCCATAGTTCTGAAGCATCATTTTACTTTTTCACAATCTTTTACATTTTTAATTAAAAGTAAGAATTTTGTGGCTGGGGAGCTGGCTCAGTGGAATAAGTGCTTCCTTGGCAAGCACAAGAGTCTGAGTTCAATCCTCAGTTCTGCCAAAAAAAAAAGTAAGAACTTCATACATTTTAAGAATAATTAGGTTACATTTTAATTTTTGCATAATGAATGGTTAAATTAAGATATTCCATACATTGATCATTTCATGTTTTCATTCTCCAACTCTAGGACATTACTGTCTACTCTGATCAAAGCGATTTTTTTTTTTACTTTTAATGAAGTACAACATATTAGACACTTTTCAGGGGTAAATTTCAACCAAAATTAGAAAGTTTTGAGAGTTCAGTTAAGTGTTTGACAATTGAAAGTGTTTATTTTCTCTGAGATGTTCATGGTAACTAGAAACTTATGCCTTCTGTTCTATTCTCCACAAGATATGATTTAAGAAAACAGTATAGTGTGGAAATCAGGAATTTGACCTTTGGATAGAGGAAGATTAAGTCTGAACCCCTAACCCCAATTAATATACTAGGTACCCAGATATTCTACATATGTAGATAGTAAACTCTTTGTACCTTTTCTTCTCTGAAAATTATGGTAATAATATAACAGAAATAATTAAGCAATTAAATGGAAATTGCTCATGAGAATCTATTACTGTTTTATGTGAAATAATAATGCATGAATTGTTACCTATTACTGTGGTAACTTTTCTTTTAAACATTTTACATATTTATCCAATTTGATCCTCCTAGCAATACATTAAGCTAGCAGTATCATTATTTTCATGTAAAAAGGTCGCCTGATTTACCTAAGGTCATAATAGTATAACATGGAAGAAAAATGGTTGAACCTAAACTGTGTCTCACTCAGCACTGTTCTAAGAGGGTGTGTAAGGGTTTGTAGGAAGCATAAGTGCTTTAGGATGAGTATGAACTATATATTTACAATTTTACTGTAAAGCACACATTTTGAAGGATCAGGAACAGTGTTTCAAGAACAACTGAATTTGAAATGGGTCTTGAATTGTATGCATAGAATAGAATGGATGTTCTTTCCTCTTGAGATAGGGTTTCAATGTGTTGCCAAATGTGGCCTTGACATACTGACCTCAAATTATCTTACTTCCATAGCTCTGAAGAGGCTAGCACTAGAAGCATAAACCATCATGCTCAACTGAAAGAATTATTGTCCTGTCTCTATGAACTATTTCTTTTTACTCTGGTGGGGAACAGTTTTTCCAGTTTTCACTTACCTGTTCATTGACTCTTTTACAGAAGATGGCAAGTACAAAGACAGCTGCAACTGGGGGTCCAAGATAGCTAGAAGTTGAACTAGTATAATGGAACAGTTGTCCACTTTGAGACACTTGTACTAATGGGACCCACAGAATACTTATGACAAGTAGCAGGAGGACAAACAGCCTGATAGGAAAACAAAATTATTTAAATATTAAACCAAAGCATTACAAGATTTTCCATTGCACTTAAGTTTTGAACTCAGTCTTGTGCTCTTTCACTGGCTTTTCCAAACAAAATCAAGCTCCTTGAACCTGTGTAATCCCGTCCATGTCTAAGGATTATCTGTTAATGAAATTTTATTAGTTATTTCTTTATGATTGGGTCAGAATATATTCATCTATGAGATTAAAATACATTCATGAAAACATTGAAATGTCATCAGTTGATTAATACTTTTCATATGTAATTATTAAACCAGTTATAAATACATATCACACTTTCTATTTCTGTTTTTCTTTTAAGTTTGAGGGATTTTAATTCTGTTTGTATAGATTAGAATTAAAATAGCTTGCAATCCCAGTTGCTGAAATATATTGGCAAGAAGCGGTATATTGTACTACTCAAGTATTCTAGGAAGTAGAAAGATTTGGTAAAAAGCTATTAGATATTCCTGGTCCCAGCATTTGATTACTGTATGCCTAGTTTCCATGAATCAGCTTTATTCTTTATTGTCAACAAAGTTTTGCTCTTTTCTTTGATTCTTCTGTAGATGATGGCAAACAGGAAGATATGTGCATTTGGAAGCCTAAAGTACCTAGAAGGTGATCACCAATAATGGGCTAGTTGTCCATTTTGAAACACCTGTGCCACAGGGATACAGGATGCTGATGACAAGAAGTAGACTGACAGATACCATAGTATGAAAATGAAACTATTTAAATATTAAACACAAACATAGCCTCAGAACTGACTCTGAGGCCAGAGGTGTAGATAATTTTGTGTACTTTCACCTAAGAATAAGGGGGCTCCCTCCCACACTTCCTTCACTATTCTGCTTAAATACAACTTCCTCAGAAGTATTGTCTCCATCTTTGCATCCTGCCTTAATTTTTTTGAACTGATCACCTGATGGATTTCATATTTATTAATTGTCCATCTTTTTCACAAAGGCATAAATTCTATGAAGTATGAATTTCAAAATATAGTGCTTTTTCATATTCATGATCTGAAACATTGTAGGCATTAGATAAAATAGGAAAAGATAATCTTGGTGCCCAAGATCACACAGCTCTTAGTGGGGTTCCTGTGGAGCTCATAAGTTCTAGTGCAGCACCTTCTCTCCTATAGAGATATAAAAGCTTTACTGTTTTCTACTCTCTTACTATATTTATAAGGATCTCAGATTTAGGCTAAGTAAGGTCTTTGGATTGTCTCTGTAAGTGTTCAATGTGCTGAAGCTGTTGCTATTATCATCAACAAAGCAGTAGATGGTTGGTTTCTCTTGACACTAATTTGACTAAAAAATCAGTGCTCCTTTGATATTGATCTTCATAGATACTACACTTGAATACAGTACTGAGAATGTTTGTACCCTAGAATCAGTGAGCCCTGAATTCCTAGGATACCCAATTTAGCAAGCTATGGGAATGAAAATATATTAGTTTCATTTTTACCTAATTTTGAGGATTCTCAATTAACTGCAAGTGCTAAGCCTTATATAGGTAGTGACTTGTTTTTGCTGTACACTAAGTATATTACTAAAAGATTAGAAAGTATAAACAGGCATGATACATCTCCCATAACTTTAACTAAATTTCAAATTATTATGACCATCACTTTGATTATTTTTGCGAGAGTCAAGATAAATTTATTTTCAAGGTCTCCTTCCACATTTCCTTTTAATCAGGACTTTTAATCCGACTTTTAATTTTAAATGCCAGAAAGTGAGAGCTTTGCACATATAGCAATCTACCAATGATGAATAGATGCCCATATGTACTACAAGGCTTAGATGAGACTACTTAAGCCAGATGTTTATGGACCACAGAGTAAATTTATTTTATTATTATGATAGAAACTATAGAGCAAGAAAATGAATACACTGCCATTACACATTAATACATAACTGCATGTCATAAGCATAACAAGAACTGTTAACTGGTTGGGTTATTCTAAGTATATTAGTATCAAATTTTAAGACAAAATCATTGAATTAGAAGTTACAGTAGTTCCTGATGTTCAGTTTCTTTCTCTTTTTCTAAATTTACTGTAACTTTTAGATTTTACTTATTTTTTCAGGTCTTCCATTAGGGAGACAATATGATGTTTACACATATGGGGCTGATTTACTTCATGTCTAAGTGCAGCCTCTAGTTGCATCCATTTACTTATAAAAGTCTCAAGTTTATCTTTCTTTATAGCTGAGTAGTGCTTCATTATATAAAATATCACATCTTTTTTATCCACTCTTCAGGTGATGGGCATTTGGGTTATTTGCAATATTTAGCTACCACAAATTATGCTGCTATAAACATGGGTGTGCATATGTTTAATTGCCTGATCAATTTTTCATTCCTATATGTGGCAATCTGAGTGACAAGTTTGATGGTAGCAATATGTAATATAACAATCATTGTTGGTTTTTTTTTTTTTTTTTGCATTTTAAGGAAGAATGTACGGTGTGTTCAGGGTCTCACTATTAGATCAGATTCAGTGATTTGGCTGTTAACAACCTCCCAGGAGCTGGGATTACAGGTACTTGCCCAGTCTCAATTGCTGTCTCAGCAAAATAATCCATTATAGTACAGCAGTCCATAATAGTAGTGGGTTATCCATAGGACTGGCAATGTCAGAAGTTGTTGATTTGAGCCTTTTACAGCTTAGCATGTTAATATGGCTTTACTTTTTATACTTCATTTTTATAGTTTTCTGCTGGATGGTTAAGACCAGATAAAGCAAGACCTATATAACAAGAAATGTAACTTTTGTATCTGACAAGGTCAGTCAAATCCTCTCAGGATTTAAATGGTGAGGAATGCTCATCTCTGACAAAACTAGACAAAAAGGGGAATATAAATGAAGGTTCAACTATATTTATATACAATATAGTTAGGATAGATGTACAGCTACTTTCTCTTAATTGAATGGGAAGAAAAATTTATACTAATAGTGTTTGGAAAGGATATCATGTCTGCATCTTGTACTATGAATAACTACTATGAAGACAGCAATATGCAATGTATTAATTATTGTGACTGTCCTACTAATCTGTTTTGAAACTGTCTGATTTCTATTTGTTTCTCAATAAAATTAGTAAGAAAAAAAAGTCAAGTGGTGTCTCAGCATGCCCCAGGGGAGGGGCCAGCAGTGGAGGGCTGGGGATAGAACCCCAGCCTCTGTGCCTTCTTGCTGGTGCTTTAATCTGCTGAGCTATTTGGCCAGCCCAACCATTGTTAATTTTCTGTTCTTGTTTTGAAATTCCATATCATTTTTATTGTTCTATGTTGCTTTGTTTTTGTCTTTGTTCTTGTTATTTGTTTTCCCCTTTAAAACAAGAAAAAGAAGACTGGATGTGGTGGCATGTGCCTGTAATCCCAGCTCTTGGGAGGTTATAAACAGGTGGATCACTGTGCATCCAATCTAGTAGTGAGACCCTGAACACCCTGTAGACCCTTCCCTAAAATACAAAAAAATAAAAATAAAAAATAAAATAAGAAAAAAGAAGTTACAGTAGTTAGCTTGGAAAGAGGACATTCTGAGTGCTGGCTTCTTGACTTGGGTTTGGACAGATGATTGCTTTTGGAAACATCATTGAGATATATTTTTACATTATATGAAATTTGTGTAAGTGTGTTCTATTTTAATTTTAGAAACATTTTTAAAATGCTATGGAAATAGATTCACTTTTAAAATCATGAAAGGGAAAATGAGACTATGTTTTACAAGATTTCTGGTTGTTTCCTTCCACCTCATTGCCTTCTAGGACCCGAGGCTGCTCAGGACTCCCTCAGTGGAACTGGTACCTGTCCCGAGTCTTTCCATGTGTACCATATTCCAGTCCCTTTTGAATGCAGTATTTAATAAACTCCTCTGTTACTGTGTGGGTCGCTTACTGTAGTAACTCATGTAATACACATGGAAATTTCTATAGAGAACAGAAAAACAGAATGTGGGAATCATAATCCATTACACCACTACTGGAGTTCTGTGAATATGTGGCTGGAGGGTGTAAGGAACAGAAGAAATGAGTGAAAATCAGACATATTTGAATCTCCAGAAAAGCAACTTGTATGGCTTCAATTTTTGTATCGAAACAGAAAATGAGTTAATATTGCCCTTTTTTTCTTAGTACAGGTTTGTAGTACAAAATGTAGACTTGTGTTTATAACATCATAATTCATAATAGCGATCTCTTGGAAGAGGCCTAAATGTCTATCAACAGATAAATAGAAAAGGAAAATGTGTGGTGCTTCCACACAGTGGAGTACTACTCTGCCAAGAGGCTCTCTGATCCTCTTCCTCATCTTCAATAGTCTACTTCCAAGTTTCTACTCATGTTATTTATTTATTTATTTATTTATTTATTTATCATTTACTTATTTGGTTTTCATGTAAGAGAAAGGATGTGATATTTAACTTCCTGAATATGGCTTAATTTCCAACATGATGATCTCTAATTTTATCCATTTTCCTGTAAATGACATGATTTCATTTATCTTTATGGTTGAGTACTATTTTGTTGTGTGTATATTTCTTGACCCGTTCATTTTTTATTGACATCAAGGCTGTTTCTATAAGTTTTCTGAACTTTTCTAAACCATAACAACAATAAACTTAAGGAATTTATAGGAAAATGGAAATGTCTTGAGACCATGAAGTTAAGTGAAATACGATCTTTTTAACAATACTTCCGATATCCCACCAACCCCAGGTCCTGAGAGTGTAGGGGAGAGCTTCTGCTCTGTCCTGCAAACATCCGCTGCTCCAAGCCCAGGCACGCTGAGTAAGAGAGGCCTTTCCCTGCATTCTCCAGACCTAACTC